AAAAAGATTAAAATATTATATTTTTAAAATATAAATTAAGGTTTTTTTTTTCTTAATTTTTTATAAGTAAGGTGGATAAGTACTAATCTCATTAAATAAAACGACAAACTTTAATATTAAAAGATCTAATCCTCAACTAATAATTTAAATTCTTGAGTATTCCAACATTTTTCTCTCTTGCATAAATTAGTCACCAAAACAAGTTAAATCCAGGTTAGCATTAGCATGGTAACCAAAAACGATCGAGAAATCACAGCCGTTAGATCCCTGAGCGAGCCACGTCCTCACCCAGGCGCGTTGAAAAGCAAAGCAACTTTATGATCTTTGACCAAAGATCAACTCTACGTTCAAATATTAAACGACAAAAAAACCATTTAAATATCACACAGATTTTAGAACGTTAGCTCCAGATCGATCGCCGCACTCTTTTAAATCCCCCTAACTCCATCGCTCCCACAAAAACTAGCCGTTACCATAATTGCTGCCTGTCTGCTGTCTCCCTTCCCTCCGTCTCCCATGGCAGCTTCACTAGATTCACCATCTCCGGCCCATCTCAGCAAGGTGCTTCCTTTCTTCCTCCTCTCTTCTTCTCTTTCAAGTTGCCTTCTGAACTGGTTTTCTTATGTGGGTTGGTTTGGTTTTCTTTTGTTCTGATTGCCGAACAGGAGCCAACAAGTTTCATTGCTTCTTCTTCTCCGATCTTCAGTCCGGGTTCAGATAAGCGATTTTGGAGCAACCTCCGCAACAGGGTCGACACCATTCTCACCGATCGCGAAACTGCCCCAAATGTAAATACCTGATTTTTTTTGTTGATTTGTTGTGTTTATTTCCTTCTGGATTGGAATTTAATCGGTGTTAACTTTACATAGAGTTTAGGAAGATCTGCAAGAGCTAAGCGATTGAAGGAGGATTCCTTGCTTTTGCTGAGAGGGTTTGATTCTGTAACACAGACTCTGTCGCAGCTGTCTAACAATCTCGACAATGCTCTTCGGGTAATTCGAAGCTCTTCTATGCTAAATGAAGCTCAAGTATTCATCAATTTAAGTTAAATTTGAAGAAACCTAAAACTAAACAGAAATTTGGTTTTCTGTGTTTTTCAGGGAGCTAGAGATCTTGCTAAGCCACCCACCCTGACTGACATATTGCATAGTCATATGAAGAATACAGAAGACAAGGAGGAGGGTTCAAAACAGAAACAAGATGAAGAGGAGAAGAAGAAAGGAGTTAAGAGGAAATTTGATCCCAGTGAATGCTCAGATGATAAAGGAGATGATTCCGAAAAGGAAAATGAGAAAAACCCAAAAACCATGACTATGAAGAAAGCCAAAAATGTTGGTTTCTCTTTCTTTTTTGGATCATACTTGATACACAGAGCAGTGAACAAAGTTTTGTTTTGATTGCTAATTTTCTGTTTAAATTTTTCAGCTTGCAATTTCTATGGCAACAAAAGCAGCTACACTTGCCAGAGAACTCAAGTCTATAAAATCAGATTTATGTTTTATGCAGGAGCGATGCGCTCTGCTAGAGGAAGAAAACAGGAGGCTTAGAGATGGATTTGCCAAAGGGATTCGACCTGAGGAAGATGATTTGGTATTTTTCATTTCCTTTTTGAATTTGTGAGTTGAAGACATGCACCTAGATTGCTTCATAGATCATCTGAGAGACCGGTCATAATTAACATGAAGCAAAAAACATTTTTGATATTTTTAAACTCATTCTGATCTCCTGATGTGCATACCTGGAGCAGGTGAGGCTTCAGTTGGAGGCTCTACTTGCAGAGAAATCCAGATTGGCAAATGAGAATGCAAACTTGGTTAGGGAGAATCAATGTCTTCACCAGCTGGTGGAGTACCACCAAATAGCCTCTCAAGACCTATCTGCTTCATATGAAGAAGTGTTAAGAGGAGTGTGCCTAGATTTCTCATCTCCTGTCCCAGAAGAGTCTATCAATGAGGAGGACGAGGACATTGATGTTGCTGATAATAGAGATACAGGAACGCCTTCCACAGATGTATCTCGTTTATTCGCTTCTCTTGACGATTGCTTTGACAAAGAGCAGTAACAATGACGCTTGAATCAAGTTTCAACTTTCAATTCAATTGTAAAGGTTGAAACTATGCCCGTTTATGGAAGCATCATCAAGAACGAATACGATCCCTTTGTTTTTTGTAATAAATAAATAAGTAAATAAATCCCCTTTTTATCTATCTTTGCCCCCTCCTACTTAAATAGTTTGAGGGTTCTTATTCATCATTCTTCAATAGCAAAAATAACTGCAGCTGCATGACAGATAATTTAAGACCATAACCAACCCAAATTTGCTCTTGAAAATTAGCTCCCATACATAACAAAGTTCATGTCAGGATAGAGTAATATCATATAGAGAAGTTACCAATCCCAATACAAAATTACTATTCATTTTTACTTTGGACTCAAGAGAGCACCTTACTTTAAACCGCCTAGAACATCACTTTTTACTTTGTTGATCAGGTCTCTTTCTCTTAGGGGCACTTATGGTCACGCCACCAGCTTTGCCCAGTGAAGTAGAAGTGCCACGCATTGCTTGAGATGGTAAATTTTCTGATTCAGGTGCTCTAGGCAGATTTGACATCATGACCACCACATCCTTCAATTTCTGCAGCCCTTTTGAGAAAACACAAGCACCAGCTTCATACTGCAAGAAGAACCAAGATGTACATGATTTGCATCCAGAAAATAATCAAATTTTAGAAATCCATCTATTTGCAACAGAACTTCATGTCTTCATCCAGTATCAAGCATTGTTGTGTATTTGAAGGAGGTAGGAATAGGACTTGGTAGAAGATTTTGTTATAAAACTTCAATTCCCCATATATGTAAATATTTATATATTAGCTTCAGATTAAGTATTTTATACAGAAAGGGAGAAGAAATATTAGGAAATAAAATTTGCTAATATGGCAAAATAACAATAAGAGTTACTTCTCTAGTATGTATATCTGATAAAAAAAAGGTGCAAAAATGCAGTTGGGGAAGGATGGCCTAAGTGCTGCTCTTTTTATAACATACTTACTGCTTCAAGTTTGCCAAGAGCATGCTCCAGCTTCAAAGCAAGTTGATGATTTCCATTTGTCAAGGCTTCAATCTGCATTCAGGAGGAATGTAAACAATCACACTCGAAGGTTTATCAGAAACAAGGATCTGAAATGGATATAATGGTCAATAAACACACCTTTTTCTGAGAGTCAGAGTACAGGCTTCTATAACTAATATCTGCTGCCCTTGAGCATTCAGTCATGCGAGAATCCTTCGATGGTTGCTTTGATGCCAATCAAAAGTACTGGTTAGAGTTTGTAAAACTAGAACCATACTTTAGCATGATGAAAATCGAAAGATACGACAAAGTACCTTAGACTTTAATTTCTTTACAATCATTTGCAGTGCTTCTAATTGTTGTTCAACGAAGTAAACTCTATCTTCCATTTTTTTCTGCACTATTCTTGGTTTTGCTACATCACCTTCTGCATGATTAGTTGGATCCTCTTCTTTCTCACCACTTTCAATAATGGTTATATCATCAATAAGTTTCTCAATAAGATTGGTCTCTGAAGGATTTGCACATTCAGACTGCTTTTCCATTCCTCCAGAAGAAGGATCAGTGTTCTCAAGCTTTGACTATAACAAAGTAGTTAGTAACTGTCAATTTGTGCTTTAATATCTAGAATCCATTTAACTAAAATAAAATTTTCTCGCCCCGAAAGTTAACCTTAACTCAAATTACTGACTGACATGACATTAAATCAGGTCTAATATAAACAACAACAACAACAACAACAACAAAAAAAGGAAAAAGGAAAAAGGAAAAAATGTCATCATAACTAAGACAGAGCTGATCACAATTACTGCTATATAAGAACTTATTATGACATAAAATTGTGTGTGAATCATTTTCCACGAGTAAAGACTTAATTTTGAAATTATAACTCAGTTTCATTTGGAAGATTGATTACAATGAGCTTGTACATTTATCCTTTCATTTGGAAGATTGATTACAAGAACAAGAGTTTGAGCTTTTAAAAAGATGATTTCTCATAAAGTGATCACAGCCATATCCCCATATATAAAAATTGTTGTGTAATACAGATTATGCTAAACTATACAACCATATCATTGCTGGAGAGGCCGATTCTTTAATATTAGAGTCCTTCATCCAATTGTCCCTATTTTGCAGTCCGGACTGACCAGACTGCAAAACTGAGAACCCATCTACTCATATAACTACAGTTCCCATTGATAACCATGACATTATTGAATATAGGCTACATACAAAACACATTATCTACAAAAGCTTATTTACCAACAGTTTTGCTAGTTCATGAGAGCAATGAAACCTAGACTGCCACAAATATGCAAGAACCAATAAAAGAAATTACTGGTTTCCAAACAATCCAAATTCTCAGGAAACTCCTTCCCATAAACCTCAACCACCATGCAAAATGCAGATGGTGACAAAAAAAAGAGCACAATGACAAACCATACAGTAACCCCATCACCCCTCTAATGAAGTATGAAGCTTTTTTTATTTATTTTTTTGTTCATTTTCTTACCTTAGGAGCCTTTTTTTCAGCCTTTTGAACCACCTTTCTTCCTCTGCTGCCCGCCATATTTTTCCCCTGCAGTCTGGAATGACCGATCTCTATTTTTTCACTTCTATTTTTTCTGTTTGTTTATTTTGCCAAAGGCAATTACGTAGGAGCAATGTGACTGTACGGCTTCCGCCTCGATTCTAGTTTTTATTGACGAAACTGCTTAAGTGCTGTCTGCTGGTTGTTCTGCCTGTTCATATCCCTTCGGACGTTTCGGTTCTTGGGACCGGACCTCGTTTGGGTTCCAGAATTTGGGCCGAAATAACATAGGTATCCTTAATTAATGGCATGCGTGTCATTTTAAAATTCCAAAATAACGTTAATAAGTGTTTAAATTTACATTTTTTTACACCTAATTCTTATATAAAATTTTAATTGTTCTTTTTTATATTATAAAAGAAAAAATATTATATAATTTAAACTCTATCAAATTATACAACCATAATCATTAATTGAGAGTAAGCCCTCTAATATTACCCCTTACACCCCATCTAATGACATTTTACAGTATGATACAATTTAAATTATAAAACAAAATACTTTATTATAAATAATTTAGATTTATTCACTATTTTATCTTATTCTTTTTATAGTATGATCAATTTACGCTAATGTAAGTTTAAGAAATTTTTATATTAATTTTTAATGACATATTTTAAAATTTAAGGAGTTATGTTGAAAATTAAAATATTACATTTATTGTGGAAGTTTTAAAATGAATAGTTGAGAATTGATATAATAGGTACAGCCAATGTAAAACAAAAAACAAAAAAAAAGGGAAAAAATATCCATAATATACTAACATACAATAGCAGCATGAAAGATAATTTAAGACCATAACTAACACTAATTTGCTCTCGAGAATTATCTTACATTAAGAGAAGAGTTAATGTCAGGATAAGGTAGCACATATACATAAGTCAGCAAATAATAACCCTAATACAAACTCACTGAGTTGACCGAGTTAGCAACTTACACAGACCTTCACTACAAAAGCAACATCCAAAAGGTCTAAACCACGGATTTTAGGTGGTGATTGAGTGAATACTTCTTTTACTTACCTTTCTAGTACCAGGTGTCTTTTTCTTAGGGGCACTTCTAGTCTCCGCACCAGCTTTGGCCGATGTAGTTAAAGCATCAAGTATTGCTTGAGAAGACACTCTTGCCAGGTTTGACATCACAACCACGTCCTTCAATATCTTCAGCCCTTCAGAAAAAACACTAGTGGTCTCATACTGCAAGGAACAAGAAAACATGATCTACATCAGAAAATGCTTACGTTTTACAAATTCATTGGGTAATTACCTTGATTTTCAAAGCATATCATTGGCGAAAGCAGTAGACAGCAGACTTAAACGAGTAGAATAACATCCATGAAATGCGAAAAAAGTTTCACTTCAAACAATTGTTACGTCTAGGCACAAAGCATTGTGGCTTATTTGAAGAAGGTTGAGCTTGGTCGAAGGTTTTATTTCATAACTTCATATAAATACCTGAATATTTAATTGGCATTTTCATACTTGGAAAAGAAGAAGAAATATTAGCAAAATCAACTTTGTAGAAAACCAATAAATTGGTTAGACGAATATCTAGTGACAATAATTGCATAAAATTGATTAGTCACCATAATAATAAGATTCAATTCACTAGTATGGATATCTAATAATAATAATAATAATAAAGCAGTTAGAATAGGACACTAATATGTTGATCTTTTATAAATGAGAATGAGAACAATCTGAAAATTTTGAGAAGCATATTTATTTGTCAAGATAAGGGGACAAAATGACCTGGTTTAAGGCTGATATTAGAGCTTCCCTAACCCAATTGGAAACCCTTTACAACATCTTGTTTCAATGCCATCTATGAGTAAGATTCAACAATAATAGGAAAACAAACACAAATCAGAACAGAAGGTATATAAATATAGGAACTGAAGGATGTGAAAACAGATTTAGAAACATACCACTTCAAGCTTGCCACGAGCATGCTCCATCTTCAAGGCAAGCCCATGATTTTCATCTGTCAAGGCTTCAATCTGTATTCATAAGGAAAATAAATAACAAAACTTGATGCATTATCAAGCAAGGATAAGAAACTTATATAAAGGTGGATAAGAAAAAAGTACCTTCTTCTGAGAGTCAGAGTACAGGCTTCCGTAGTTGACATCAGCTGCCCTTGAGCTTTCTGTTGTATGAGAATCCTTCAATAGCTGCTTTGATACCAATCAAAAGTATTGTTCAAAGTTTGTAAAACAAGAACAATGCCATAGTATGATGAAACTGCAGAGAGAGGACAGAATACCTTAGACTTTAATTCCTCCACTGTCTGTTTTAGTGCTTCCAATTGTTGTTCAACTAAGTAAACTCTATCTTCCAAATTTTTCTGCACCAAGCTTGGTTCTGATACATTACCCTCTTCATGATTAGTAGAATCCTCTTCTTTCTCACTTTCACTGATGCTTATCCCGTCAATGACTTGTTCAATTCCCTTGTCTAGAGCAGGGACAACTGCATTTTGCAACCTTTGAGATCGCCTTATTGTGGCAGAAGCAGCATGCTTTACTTTTTTCCTTGCCAAGGTCACAGACTTTGCTTGTCTTTTAAGTGGATTTATGTCTTCAAGTGGCAATTCCTTGGTCTCTGCTAAAGGACTTGCATTTTCGGGTTGCTTTTCCATTCCCCCAGAAGAAGCATCAAAGCTTTCAGGCTTTTGCTATAACAAAGTAGTTAGCGATTAACAAACCAACTTACTTCTAGAACCCTTTTACTGACATAAAATTTCTTACACGAAAATCACCTTCATCTCAACTACTGGAATCAAATCCGGTCATAAATAAACCACAAGAAAAATGAAAGGAAAAAATCAACAAGACACAAGTATAGATTTGATGTGCAGATTATAACACAATTATCCGCAATAATTTTCAGTTAATAATGGATCTTTCCATTTATCCCAGAAGATTAGACAAGAATTTGAGCAGCTGAACTTTTAAAAAAAGATAATTTCCAATAAAGTGATCAAAGCCACAACACACATTCATGTTAAGATGTAACCATATCTCCCCCTGATAACCAATACATTAATAGAATACAAACAAAACCCACTGTCGCTTGTTCATGAAAGCAATAAAACCTAGACTCACCCAGATTGCCAAACGTCCCAAATCTGCCAAAGAAAAGACCTCAAGGAGGAAAAAACAAAGTGAACCATCACCCCATAAAAGCTCAAAAGCACAAAACAAGAAAGAACAATAAAACCGCTACTAAAATACTAATAAAGTAAGAAGCTTTTAGGTTTCCTTTACCTCCGGAGCCTTTTCTTCAGCCTCCTTGAGTACAGTTCTTCCTCTCCTCCTTCCCACAGTTACAGTTCTTCTCCCACCCATTTTCCCTTGAGGGATGGGGACCGATTATTTTTTCCCCTTGTTACTGTTGTTTATTTTGCCAAGGTTATTGAAGTAACTCCCGTGCGTCGGGCAACGTGTCCGTACGACTTCATATATATATATACACTTTCCTTTGGCCAATCTGCTGTAAGCCTGTAGCCTGTAACCTGTAAGGCTCGAAAATCAATCTCATTCGCAGTTTCATTTACGTGACATGACAATAATGATAAAATAAATGTTAAATTTTTTATTTAAATTAATA